AAATATAAATACCCCTGTCAGTGTCCCTTTAAGGCTGCGGTATCACGGTGGCCATCTTGAACAAGCTACTAGTTGAACCTTCAGGGCAGCGTTGCCTCGCTCACCCGTCATGTTTCTAAAGGTGCTGTTGCTGATTACCCAGACATGCTATAGGCTGTCCCTCCAGTACGGCTGGTCATCACCCCTGTGAGTGAATGGCACGTGGACGTGTCTGGCCACACGAACCGTGTGCCTGTAGAACTCAGTTTGCCTTTGTGTTTGCCACCAGAGCCGGTGCCAGGGATGGTTAATGGCTATCATAAGGCTAACGGAAAGATAATAAGGAATGAGGAACAATTGCTGGATCGGACTGGGTATGGACATTGTTTAAAGCTCAGTTTATTCCATCTTTTCACAAGTATTTACAGAAAAGTTCCCATACAATTTAACTTTTCGAATATTCACCTATATTTACAATTTTACACGCTACTAGTCCAAAGTTTAGTGCAGGCGAATTCGCCTGTTATGATGGGAGGCATCAAAGGCAACGACAATGTCACTCAACTCCAGGCTTTTTGCAGTGGCTTTTTCCACAGCGAGTACACCCAAGCTGATTAGCCTTTTGTCGCACCCTGTTTCTCAGATACATCTTCAGTCGAGGCAGGCATGAAAATGTATGTTCACATGCAGCACTGGAGGCAGTAATTGTCAGAGCTATGACACAGAGATGATAGGTTTCCTGAAAGGCTATCTGAAGCTTGCCTAGAAATTCAGCAAACGTTATGGTGGTTGTCACCTTGCACTGGTTCTCTTTCTCGTATCGCTGCACAACTTTAGGACTCAGTTTCATCTCAGCCACCAAACTATCCCAGTCGCATGAGTAATGGCTAGCCAGCGTCTCAACCAGTGTAATCTTCATGAAACGGTCATGCTGAGGCTGGAAACATAATATTAAGGTCTTTAAGAACATCAGTTCTCGCCAAATCGTTGCTGAAGTTCTTCGCACATCCTATCCAAGATGGGAAGAGAAATGTGCGCTCTATAGTCCTTTTTCGGTGCAGTAGCTGGTGTCTTCCCCGGACAGCGTTGCTTCTGTCACATACTCTGCAAGGTGTGCAGGCAAACGATTGATTCATCCATCTGCTGTGAGACTAATACCACTCTTTTCTGCAATGCTTACACATTGACTCCAAATGCTTGAGAAGCCTTCTGCCGTCCTCAGTTTGCTGAACCGCTCACATACTCCAGTGATCATCATAGATGCTTGAGTAAGGTCGCATGTTTTGATTTGTAGATAGTCCGAGATGATCTGCAGGTCGTCCAAGACTTGGCTGAACATGTAAAAATGTGACACAGACATAAGTCCACCTGGTGCAAAATCCCACGTGCTTTCACCAATCTTGTTTTGGCGCTTTCTGCGATCTGTGCGAGTGTAACGATGATTACGGGGAGTGTGCGGCCGACGGCTTTGCAGGCATTTACTTGGCAGGCCCAGCTAGTCTCGCTGATTCTTTTAAGTTCAATAGTTGTGCCGCATACCTGCTTCTGGACTGCGAGAAACATTGCACGTGCTGCAGATCCACCGAAGAAGACATACAGTGTGTCCATTAGGGTGAAAAATGTTCTCACAGAGCCTAAAGCTTTGCACGCGTCGACAATGAGTAAATTAGCCGGTGGTTGAGGCAGGGGACGTACACGGCTTGAGGCTCATCTTTCTTCAGAAGGGCTCGAACTCCTTTGCTCTTGCTGCTCATGGCGCTGGCACCGTCATACGTTTGTGCAATGCAGTTCTCGAGAAGGATTCCACACACATGACTGCCTCTCCTTTATGTAGCTGTAGAGAGAGGCTGCGTCCAGCATCTCTGTGCTCTTGAACCCAAGAAACCTCTCGTACACGGAGCCGTTGAGGAAGTACCATACTACGACAGAGAGCTGCTCTATTTTCCTAACATTGCAGGACTCGTCAGTCATTAGTGCGAAGCATTGGGCACTGTCCACTTCCTTCTTAAAATGGCGCAAAGTTAGATCTGACATGACAAAAAGTATCTCGTCCTGAATCGAGTGGTGCGTACACTTTGTATTGGCAGGGCCACTCTTCAGTTTTTTAGCACAATGAGATAACTTTTCGGAACAAGCTGAAGCAGCTCGAGAAAGCTTTTCTATTGTCACTCAAAAATTACCCGTCATCTGCTCTCTGGGCTATCCACTGAATCGCAGTGAATCAAAGCACGTCAGATATTGCAGAAATGTAGTGGCGGTTCTCTCTCACCTCCGTTTGAATATGCCTCCCTGAGGTGCACGGCCACTTAATTTTCTGTGCTTGTTTCCTTCATGAGCCTGAAGGAAGCCCAGGATGCCCGGGACATCTTGTGCGCCGCACTGTTCGCACAAAGTCGAAGTCCGCCATCCTTCCGAAGGGCTTTATTCCAGTTGCGATAGCCCTCTGTCACAGACACCGCACTTCCACTTCTCTGTCCGCCTGTGGAGAACACCCGACAGGGAAAGCAAAAAGCAGAGTTTGAAGCCACGCTGTACTCCAACCCCGGAAAGCTGGTGTGCCACTCTGCCTTGAAGGTCCTGGAATCGCTCCCATACTTGGTTTTGGGGAAGGATCGTAGCACGGACTGTGGTTGAAAATCGTAGGCTGCTTTGGCCACATCAGATGGTATGTCTGCCTTCATGCGAGGAGGTGGGGTTTTCAGTTTGTTGTTCTGAAGGCAGACAAACCGAAAACTCGGCTCGCCGTCGTCGCTCTCAGATGGACTGGAGGCACGTTCTTCTTCCCCGGCGCTTGTGTTAACCGACGACTTCTCGTCGAGTGAACGCTTGGCTTCATGACTATGAGGCTCAGAAACGTCTTCCTCAGCTTTCCGTTTAGCGCATTTGTGTCAAAAAAAGTTCCTTATTGGACGACTAGACGCCATAGCGCAGGGGTGGCCAAGCTGCGGCTCTTTGCGTCTTAAAGTGCGGCTCGCGAGCCGCATGCGGCTTTTTGTGTCTTAAAGTGCGGCTCGCGGCTCCCTCTCTTATGCCGCCGCCGCCCCCCCCCCCCCCCCCCCCACTTCACTCCCCTGCCTCTCTCCCGGTCACACAAGCACTTCCCCAAAAAGAGAAATGGAACACGTTTGAAATCGACAGACAGGTTTCGGTTTGGTTGTCTTGTGCTACTGCTACCTTAAGTACAGTTGGACTGGTTTTGACTCAAATAGATTGAAAGTAGTTCGAATTTTATTTACTGCTCCGAAAAAAAGCCCCGGGCGGCTCTTGGAAGTTTCGAGGTATTGTTTGTGGCTCATAGGCCGGGTCAACCTGGCCACCCCTGCCATAGCGCATCAGACTGAACGCAACCAGTCTACTACTGTCCATCTGAGCGGACACAAAAGATGTTGACTTCAGAAAACCATGTTTGATTTCAAGACCACTTTTGCTCAGGGCACTCGATGGCGTTTCCGACTCATTTTCCCTGACTGGGCTCGCTTTTCGACAATATCCCTGACAATTCCCCGATTTTTCCCGGTAATTAATATTTCCCTGAATATTCCCGGTTTTCCCAATTGCTAGACACCCTGGACAGTGATTACCAGTCGCTTCTTAAATCCACCGCCCTCATTTTTTCTCGACAATACTTGTCATCTTTACTACTAAATAACCCTCGATGATTTTAACGTGTAGTTAATCCAAGTACCGTATTTACTCGCACAATGAACGCACTCGCGTAATGAACGCACCCCCCAAGTTGGCTCTCAAAATTTCGACTTTTTTTTTTTACTCGCGTAATAAACGCACCCTGACTGGGACGTCAAAATTTTGACCCCCTTCCCCCATGTGCGTGAACGCACTTTTCTATCCTGGTGCAGCGAGGTCACGAATGCACGGGCAGCGAGGGCGGTGAGGGCGGTGAGCGCGTTAAAAAGATTCGCAAAGATCCAAAGGGAGCAAGGAAAAAAAAAAACATTGAGAGGATGGAGCCTTTTTCTTTTGCACAGCGCAGTCTGGACTTTTGGTTGGCGCGCCGCCGCGCGCAAGGAGGTATGAAAGAGAGGCGGAGAAGCGCTCTAAGGGAACGAAACAACTTGCGAAAGTCGGCAAAAAAAAAAACAAAAAAACACGGAATTAAGAGAAAACAAAAACAAAGAGGAGCTTTTTTTTCTTTTCTTTGCACAGCGCAGTTTGGTTTCGCGCGCCGCGCGCAGGGAGGTAAGAAAGAGGAGCCGAGAAACCCTCTAAGCAAACAAAACAGCTTGCAAAAAACGGCAAAAAAACAAAAAAAAAAACCACGGAATTGAGGAAAAAAAAAAAAAGAAGAGAAGCTTTTTCTTCTTTGTCTTTTTTTTTTTTTTTTTTTGCACAGCGCAGTTTGGTTACGGGGGTCGCGCGCCGCGCGCAAGGAGATAAGAAAGATAAGCGGAACCCTCGCCTAAGCAAACAAAACAGCTTGAAAAAGGCGGCAAAGAAAACCAAAAAACTAAAAAAAAAAAAAAAAAAAAAAGGTTTTTTTTTTTTTTTTGCACAGGTTAGTTAGGTTACGGGGTCGGGCTCCCCGCGCAAAGAGATAAGTTACTTAGATTTTTCAGGGTAAAAGGTCCCTTCATTATGCGAGTAAATACGGACCCAAAAGTTTTACTTCGCGTAATGACCGCCCCCCCCCCCCCCCCCCCCCCAACTTTGCATCGATTTTTCGGGGAAAAAAAAGTGCGTTCATTCTGCGAGTAAATACGGTAGTCATCCTGAAGTGTCTCTCACCAATAACAACAGTGTTTCAGCAACACAGTCAGAATCATTTTCATCGGTGTTTACTTGTGAGGACACTACTTCATCTCCCGCCTTAGGCAGGTTTAATGACATGTCTATGTCTGAAATAGTAATACTGAAGAGGCCGGCATTTTATCTCTTCTAAATAAACTTAAAATATCATCTGCCTCTGATCACACCGGTCTAAATAACAAGATACTTGAAAATACTGTGCAAGGCTTTCTGGGATCTTGACAGCCATTTTCTTGCAGTAATATCCCAGGAGAAAATATCCAGTTGGTATCTAGCTGGTCCTAGTTGGTTCCAGCTGGTCCTAGTTGGTTTCAGCTGGTCCCAGTTGGTTTCAGCTGGTCCCAGCTGGAACTTAGCTGGGACCAACTAGCCCTTAGCTGGGACCAGCTAACCCTTAGCTGGGACCAGCTAGCCCTTAGCTGGGACCAGCTAGCCCTTAGTTGGGGCCAGCTGGGACCAACTAGCCCTTAATTGGAACCAGCTGGGACCAACAAGCACTTAGCTGGGACCAGCAAGCACTTAGCTGGGACCAGCAAGCACTAAGCTGTCCAGCTGGTTCTTAGCTGGCACATAGTTGGGTTCAGCTGGAGCTGCTGATATAGGTGTTTTTGCTGAGATTGGCCAACATATGCTTAAAGCACTCTCAATATTACCATTAGCTTGCCCGACCTGGCGGCCGCTCTGAGAGAAAATGTGGATGAGAACTGAAAAATCCAGCGGTGCGCGACGCATTCTCAGGAGACGGTACACGCGCTGCCTACCTTTCTAAATTTGACTGATTTAGTGGTTTTCAACGATCCCCATGAAGTTTCTAGTTGAAACATAAATGTTTATTTTTACTAATTAAAAAGTTAGTTAACATACATTTGTAAAATTAGGTGCTTAATTGCACAGTCTTGATACTATATGTGATTGAAAAGTCGGACAAGCTAATGGCAATATTGAGTGCTCTAAACGCAATATTGAATGCTCTAAAGTTCCTTTTTTTTAATATTTTGGCCGCTGTTGTAAAAACATGTGGCATATGAGCTGGAGATCAGGTGGGACAAGCCGGGGTACAGCTTAAACAAGCAAGTGTTTAGAATTTGTGCCACGTGAGCATGAGCTGGCAAATTTGATTGGGCCAGAGCTGGCAGCAGTTGAAGCAGTTAGCTAGCAAAGCTAAGAATTTGAGACAGACACCAACTGGCCTTTTTCTGGTACTTGATGACGAGAAGCAACTTCTATTTATTTGGCAAGTAGGATCGAGCTACAGAGACTGCTCTTTTGTGCAACACAGGAAGAGGGACCCAGCTTACTCACTTCTAAAAAGAGCCTTAAAGGCTAAAGACACAAAGTAGCTATTCGCCCCAGTGTGCATGTATACACAGGGCACAACACCAGGCGCTATTTCAACGAGTAGATTACTGGCAGCATGTCCAGGAGGCACCTGGCGCGCTTTCACAATGTGAGTGCATTTTTGAACAGGTGTTGTTACAAATCTAGGTGACACGGCAAAAATCTTGGCCTGTCCATTTGTGTCCTGAAAAGACAGCAAGTGCTCAATTTTTATGTACACTTTGGATGGTAAGATTGCAGCTGTGCAGTCAGTTTTGTTCGGTCTTCCATACTGCTCACTATGGAACACAAACTGGGACACCGCAACCCTATCATGCTCCATCACTTGACCGCTTATAATATGTCCAATCTGGCTCTGGGCCAACTCCAAAAGTGGTAGTGGCACTTGCCGTGGCTTGCCAAGTGGTGCGACAGTCCCTCGATTTGAGACGCTGCCTCCACTTAAAAATGACTGTGTCTCAGGACAAGCTAAGGCTTTTAGGCCAGGAAACAAACTTCTCATCATAAGGCGCTCCACAATTTGCAATGGCACACCCTTGGCCGATGTAACAAGCTCCTTCACCTGGCCAATATTTGATTCAAAGGCAAAACAAGAATGTGCCCACAGTGGGCCTTGGTGCAGCACACTTTTGGACAGGTGTAGCATCTGGTGGATGTTGAATGTCATCTGCTTCTCACCATAAAGCACCTGGACATCAACAACAAACTTCACGAGACAATTGATGCTCTCTGTGACATCACCCTTGGTGACATTGTCTTGCAGCAAAAGATAAATACCTTTTACTAGTAAGGCAAAGTGACACAAAAACTTTGAATGCAGTATGCCATCCAAGCATGGTAAAGAAAAGCACAGAAGCCACTGCTGCCATTCGGTCGCTTTCCAGTACTTCCGTACGGAAAGCGACCGTTGCAGTCTGTGGAAGCATGATGGTGGTTTCATACTAAGCAGCCTCTGATCAAGTGCATCAAAAAGTGCTGGACAGCCAATGTAGAAATCCTCTCCCACGCTGGTCAGCCACAGCTCTGTGAGCTGCCGCGTTGTGCCGAGCAAAACACAATGCATATAATCTGGTGTAAATCCCCAGATTACGTCAAATCTGGGGAGATTCATGAGGGGTGTTGGACCCTTTACGCCTTTGATGGGCTTGTCGCTGGCAGCCGCTCTCTTCATCAGTGCCAGGGTCCGGTCCGTGTCCCTGTCCTCCACCACTTCATCAACAGTGTACTTGACAGTTCCTGTTTGGAAAACAAAAGGTATTAAATGTTAAGCAAGTAAGCCACATGAATCAAATTTTCTTTTACAGATAATTTACAACCAGGCAAAATGAATGCCGCAAAGGAGGACTGGTATTTGGTAATAGGCAAATCAAACCTAAAATGCGAAACCAGTGTTATAGCAGTAATTGTAGTGTTCCGGGCTCTTGAATGTAGTAGGGTTTTTGGCATGCTTGTTTATTAATTAGGTGCACATTAATGCAAACAGACTACAGAAACCACTGCATACAGCACCATGCTGCCGCCTCTTGTGCAATAACTGACAACATTTATGTCTGGCAGAATAGCTTCAAGCTCATTTAGTGAGCACTTAGACAGCACAAATAGTATACATAGCTCAAAAATGGCAATAAAGAACCACTTTGATTTCTTTTCTTGCCAAATGCTTTGTTAGAAGTTCCCCACCATTGATGACAGTTCCAGGGTGCAGGCACCATCCACACCCGTAGTGCCCATTATACTGCAACATATTTTGCATAATTGCCCTGGCAGGGGCATCAGCGCAGCAGCTGAAGCAATGGATCTGCAGGAAAAGAATGCAGTTGCTTATAAAATGCACCACAGAGCCGCTATAATCTATATTATATTGTAGTGCTTGCCGGCGATCTACCATGTCGCCCCATGTCTGAGTGGCTTGCGGCACGGATCGCGCGATGCCAAAATACATTGCTTTCATTGTAGAGTGCTCGCTGTAGCTCGGAAACTTCAAGCTCTTTGAAAACTGGATTTTTCTTCGCTTCATTTACAGAACCACAGGTATTTAAATAAAATAAATAAAAACTATATTTCTATTAACAAAATGAGTAAAGATAATCGATAACATAAAGTCATGTTGCATTCATCGTACCACTGTGAGCTAAGAAATTAGCTCTCTTAAGGCCTGTTCACACATCTGCGCTACATTTGCTTACAACAAAACGTGACTGCAGGTTGCCATTGCGACCCTTGCAATGAGCCAATGAGGAGGCAAAAAGTTGCACAACATAGCGCATACAATGCAAATTTGTTAACTGGCCGCGTCCCTGTACTTTCCGGCCGTCTGCCATGCTGAAAGTGATACCCTTCTTTTCTTTCCTTCCCCTTGTGACCACTGCTGAGCATAACCAATATCAATTGGACCCAGCAACTGAGCCACGTGCCCCTGCGGTCACCGCCATACCACTCACGATTTAACATTTTATATTTAATCTATCTGCAGTGCCCCTGTTTTTACGTATGGGTACAGTTTTTCTCTGAGTATGTCTAATCTGCCATCTGCACGTTGCGACCGAACCTGGTTAAAGATCCCCCGCTCAAGAGACCAAAAAGTATGTGAATTCTTGCCGTGAGTAAAAGCCGGCCAACAAAGCTTGGTACAAAGTAACGTCGAAAGTTGAGTTGGTATTCGTTGATCCTAATATATAAACAGTGCGAAACACATGAACAGAGAAGAAATACGCTTGGTACAAAGGCCCTTATACACATAGCTTACACTGACATACTTTGGTCCTTTCTGGTGGTAGAGCGCACCCTTTACTGTACTAATTGTAGAAACGGGGAAACGAGCATTGCGAGCAAGCAAAAACGAGCGAGCGCAGCTTCCAATGCATTAATGGCAGGCTTCTACCACCAGCAAGGACGACGGCTTTGATATCACATGCAAGCCCTGTATACTATATGCACATACCTTTGAACAAACAGTTCTTGTGCCTGCCTCCCAGGTAATTCCCTCACAAGATAAGTCTTCCATTTGATCAACGAAGGCCGTCAGCAGTAGTGGCATGTCGGGATGGGTCTGTCCATACCACAGCATGGTGACGAGGACATTCTTGTGCCGGAGGTGTGGCGGAAGTTCGTTGATCATCACTTGCACCGGCCATATCGAGTATTTGGAGGAATTGAAAAGCGGACTTCCGTCGGAATTGATGGTCAGCGTTAAATCGTGCAAATCCATCTTTTCCCGGACGGCTTTGTATGCGTCACCGTCGGAAATATCCGACATCCCATCACTGCCATTGTCGTGGTGAGCATCTATTTCTTGCAGGCGCTTAGTTAGAGCACTAGAAATTTCTTCTCTCGAAAGCAACTCTGTTATCTGTTTCCGGATCGGCATGCTAAAAAAAAAGTGGCCGTCAATCAACATCTGCCGACCATCACAGAGTTTGCCGCAGTTGGGGCAGGGGGCCTGAACTGCGTTGCGGTCAGCAAGGCGACCCGATGTGGAGGCGACTAGTCTTTTGCAGTCGTTGCAGTAAAAATGAAACTTGGCAGTCTCAACAGTGATACCGGCGTTCTTTTTAAACAAGTACTTGGTTGCCGGCACGTCGCATCTTTTCAGAACGTAGGACATCATCTTCTGTAGAGTTTCGACCGCCTTCCACGGGAGTCCGAACTCTATGATGAAGCCCACGGATAGCGCTAACAGGTCATTGGCGGTTAGCTGGGCCTCCTCTTGCGGTTCTTGCCGAGTTCCTGGAGAGCCGCCGGGTTGTGGTGTTGGCGGCGGTGGTGTGGCGCGGGTAGCACTAGGACTTGACGCAAGCGAGTCATCGCTTTCGGCGGGTGCAGAGTCGTCGTCGCTTTCGGCAGGCACAGAGTGGTCGTCGCTTTCGGCAGGCACAGAGTGGTCGTCGCTTTCAGCAGACGAGCCGCCATCTCTTTCGGCAGGCAATAAGTCGTCGCTCTCGGCAGGCGTGCACTCATCGGTCTCGTCAGGCGCTTGCAGGTCCGTTTCGCGCTCGTCAAACAATCTTTTTTTCGTTGTGTATGGTAGGTCTGCTATGTCGGCTCCATATTCAAGATACCGCTTCCGCGGAGGCATTTTCACAGCATACACGTGCAAACTCAAACGCAGATCAAGCAGATCACCCACGACAGCTCCAGGCACAAGAAAAGCTGTAGAAAGCCGATGGTCAAGAAATCTGGTCAAGACAAGCCAAGCCAAAGCGAACTCGCGAAATTATTCCTCTAAAGTAAATAGAAACACGCTTTTACAACAACATGGGTCTAAAGTATCAATGTGCCATAGTTTGAGTCAACTAATAGTTTGTTCCTATTTTAAAAAGTTAAAATATTATTTAATAATTGCTAGCATATAGTATTCTTTAGACGCGTTGCGGACGCGGCAACCATGGTCACCGCGCTGTGGTATTCGCACGTCCGCTAGTATTTTGACGGTTGCTTGCTTTTCTCTACTCGGACCACGTGCATTCGCTCTTCAAAATGTTTGCGCTAGTTCGATTTGTGGACGACCACAACAACAAGCGACTGCATATCGTTTCTACAAGCAGCATCGATGGCTTCTCTCCGACTAGCACGGACGATTTCGACAAAAAGTCGACCTACATGGTGTTTCACGAAGACTCTGAAGGCAACGGAGAAAACACGGGGTTTTATAGTGCCCACGTCCTTCTGCTAGCCGGTACGTATACGTACCATTATTTATCACAGGTACACCTGTCAAAACGCAGTTTGACGCCGTCGAGTTCACCAAAAAATGCCAATGGTATCTAAATCTTGGACGATCCGACGGCACTCCTACAGAGCGTTCAAGTGCCGTCCGACGGTACTCCACTCGCACGTTCAAGTGCCGTCCGAAAGTCTCCTATAAAACGAGGTCGCAAAGCGAAATTTTTGAAGCTGTAGTGTAGCTTAGTGGTACAATGTCTCCCTCACAAACAAGCGGCCCCGGGTTCAATCCCCGGTGCGGAGTTACTTTTTTTTTTTTTTTTTTCTCGAACATTTTCTTTTGTCGACGCATTTGGCGATATTTACATTTGTTTTTGGCTGTGTCTAGAATACCGTCCGACGGCCACTGGCGCCTACAAGCGGCGTCCGAAAGAAAGTCGGACGGCGCGTGTATCATGAATAATTGCGAAAGCTGCGACTAGCTGATCAAAAACGGTTGAGGGAATGTGTGTATGTGATCTGCGCACAGTACAGATAGGTTGCACTGACGTAATTTGGTCCTCCTCTTTAGGGGCAAAACTTTCCTTGAGCGTAGCCTTTATTTGTACTTATTCTACAAACAGGAAGCAAACATTACGAGCGAGCTGAAAGGAGTGAGTGCAGCTTCCCCTGCACTCACGGCAGGTTTCTGCCGTCAGCAAGGAGGACGCGGATATAATATATATCATGCAAGCCATGTATAGGTGCCTAGTGTCCTAATGCTATGAACAAAAAATTAATTTTTTAACTAATAGCATCACTATCGGCTTCAAACCTCACTGCATCCGTTAGTGAATTCAGATTGCATAGTCAGCCTGTGCTTTTTGGAAAAAGAGACATGCTTCGGTTAATCATGACCTATAAGGAAATCATTTTTGAATCGCTGCTTGACCCACAGAAACCGAGGAAGAGCTCACGAAAAAAAAGGAGTCGAAGAGGATCGCTTTTCCTAAAGCAAGATTAGAGGAAAGCTCCGACGATGATGTTCCAAGTAAAAAAACGCAACAGAAGAAGGTAAGCATGCAACTTTGATGTATTTGTATACAGCACTTAACTGTGAACTCTGGTATTCTCCTTTGAACTCAGTGCTAATTAATGCAGAATTTAAGTATTCCAAGAAGCAGCATGGGCTGACTCTCACTAATCAATTTTTACAAACTCGTGTTAACCTTTTGAAAATAAGTGCCATAAAGGTGATTAAGAATTTATGCACATACCTGCCTCCAACATTGTTGTTCCTTTCTTATGTGCCAGGTGTCACAGAGGCAAAAACAGCTGCGAACAACCTCGAAGAATGCTGTGTATAGCGAAATATTGGAAAAGCATTTACATCACGCCCACAAAAGCACCAAGGCAGGGCCTTCTGACCGAATTCATCGGGCACAGTCAGTAAGTAATAGCTCAGCACTTCTTCTGTCTTTAACGATGCGGGAAGGCTGACGTTAAGGGGGGATATGGGCCTAAATTTTTTATTTTTATGAAAAAATTCATTTTTTTAATTTTGAGGTTTTCAGTTTTAGAAACTAATTATACACCCTTACACCAAATTTGATTACAATACGCCAAATAGTTATGTTAATATAAAATATTTTCAACACATTGTGAGGCAGTAACAAAGTAAAGGAGTTCAATGTTTGAGTGCATTTTTCTCAGTTCCACTTTTTGCTGCAAATTTCATACGAAGGAATCTTTTGTTCGAAGGTGAAAGTATTCTGTTACCACAATCAAGATGTTTCTGAACTGAAATTTACTCAGGAATCGGGCTATCTACTTTATTTTGTTTTAAGTTGAAGTCCTCAGTGACAAAAAACTAAGTTTTCAAAAATTGACAGATGACAGATATGCATCTCATAGTTTAAGGTAATAACTCTTCCTGAAATATTTACATTTAAGTTATTAAAACTAGATAGCCCGACGTCCCATATCTTCCACTTTATATTCAAGCAGTCAAAATGGCGCTTAATAGCTTGATTTGCATATCATAGATTTCTTAATGAAAAGTGACACATCATCTTATGCAATTATGTAAATTTGTCCTAGAGAGCTGAAAGTTTGCACAGTACACCTATATCTGAAGCCAAATCTCCCGTGCAAATTTCATTCCGATCACTTGAGTAGTTCAAAAGTTTGACCTCTAGCCAGTGTCCCCCCTTAAACGTTTTACTTTTCAGGTCCCAAAAAGGTTGCGGCAGGAGTCAGTCAGTTCATCAGATGAAGACGATTCTTTATGCTCAGCGACAGAGCTGCGCCAAGCACAAGCAGAGACTCGTGCCTGGAGAACAAAAGCAAGACAGCTTGAAGAGGACAAGAAATTTTTGAAAGAGCAGGTTTCCTCACTGCAGCGCTGCTTAGAAAGTAAAATATTTCAAGGTAAGAACATCCTAGAGGTGCAGCTATGCTCCAAGTGTTGAAATGAAAAATTACTCTGCCAATTCCCACAATTGTCTCTACGTTCAGGAATATTTACTACTGTCTTACCTTTCTTCAGCTAGCAGCTGTTGAATGTGTGTTTTTGATTATACTGCATATATGCTTTTATGCAGATTTCTGCTAAAAGTCTAGCACTAGGACAGTGCATTTCACAAATTCTGCCAGTAACTACTAGCACATGTCTGTGTCAAAAAATTGTGCTTCATGGGTTTGTTTATGACGACATGCTAAGGTGGATCATTTTAATTATAAGCGCTACATTTAAGTATTATTTTTCAGCTGAAAAAAGCAGCGAGTGCGAATATTTCAGGCGAAATGAAGGTAAGTGATTCTGCAAACACCACAGTTTGTGAGTCCTGCATAAATAAAACAGTATAAATGGCAGGCTTGGTTCATGGCATACACCTTTCAAATGTGAGCTCATCTTGTAAATGGTGCAACTAAATGTATAAAATATGGTGAGGCAAATAAATGAAGCTGCAGCTGATTTAGTTTCATTCAATGTTATCAAATGTTGCAGTTGAGGATCTTGCAGATGCTCAGCATGATCTGGTGGAGCAGCACAGTGAAGGTAAGTCTTAACTGTCATATCGGAGTTCTTGTGAAAGCTGCATCGATGTAAATATATGATGCATATGTATTGAACATTTGTTGAATTTTCAATTTTAATAGCTGTGGCTGCGAGCACTGACACGGCAGCAGATGGCATTATGCGGGGAGCAGCCCATCAAGGTGAATCACTGCCTTGTAAGCACTTTTATGCTTCTTGAATGTCTGAAGCTGCTTTTGTTTATAGCAGGTACTCTTATAGTAGTTGGAAGTGCATGTGTACCCTTTAATTTTCACAGGCACGACATATCCTGCCACAAGGTGTGACGCTGGTGTCCTCCAGAAGAGTGCACTACCTGCAGCTTGTCTCAGCACTGCAGCAGCTACCAAGAACAGTTCTGCACAGCGTAAGTGCATCAACTGCTGAAATGAATCCTTTGCAGCAACCAACTTATACTGACACTGTTCTGTCACAAGGTCCCCCCCCTGGAGCTTGCCAAGTGAGCGCAGGACCTGCGGGTCCTGCCAGACCTGCGGGTCCTGCCAGACCTGCGGGTCCTGCCAGACCTGCGGGTCCTGCCGGACCTGAAGCAGTTGCTGCAAAGAGCCCTGCCCCCGGTAAGTGCATAAATTACCAAGAGCACCTTAGGAAAGCATTCCGTGTTTGAAGTGACCTTAATTGACACTACAGATCAACATAACTTGTATGCCACTACATAAAAACTACATATGTGTCTATGAAATTGCTATTTTATGAAGGCACCGGCAGAGATGTTGGAAGTATCTGGTTGATGTGGGATAAAAAACCACCCTTGCGTATAGAAATGGTCTGAAAAGCCGCGTTATCTCTCATCTTCGCTCCGGTTCACTTCCTCAAGATGGCGAAGCGAAGAGAGGGAATAAGAATCGCAGCGATAAAAAGCCTCGTCAGCCTCGTTCAACCGTGCCCTTCTTATAAAAAAAAATATAGCTCATCTGTTTGAGATATCGCTGTGTGAGTGATGTTATGGTGTTTGTTGTGTCCCACCTATCGCTCCTGGCTCGTTTTCTGAAGACGCAAATTTCAGTCCAGCATCCCTTAAGTATATCAAATGCTGTCCGGCATACAATTGATTTTGTACAACCGGCTTCAGTTTTCGCGAGCAATTGTATGGACTTTATAGCAAATAGATAGAACTTGTCTATTTGCTACATATATGTTAGTGTCCCGCTATTAAAAGTATTCGGAAATCAGCTCTGCATTCTGGTGTCCCTCTTGTCTGTCCTAGTATCGCATCGTAGTTCACTTTAACACGTTTTGCCTGCTCACCAAAAGATGTGCCTTATTTTTAGTATGGATGATTTTTCTTTTTCAGTTCCTCCGGCATTCACACACCTTCCTGATGGAACTGTAAGAGCTTGCCCTTATTTTTAACTGTAATTGCTACATGTGCAAACATAGTGAGCAGTAAGGTCTTAAACCTGCTCCTTTGTTGTGATGACATACACATCTTTGATGTGCACATTGCTGGCTGTGGGGATAAGCCCTGTTTATCTCCTAAATGCCAAGCGTAATAAGAGTATAGACACTGTTCTTGTACCTCTGCTAAAATGGGTGCAAAACATACAAGAAGTGAATGTATATTTTTATATCTATTTTTGTTCTCTGCATAATGCAATGCTGCTAATTTTATTGTTTCCTTAAATATTGGATGCCAAAATTGTTTATTCGATTGGCAAGTATATATTTAGTGAAATCACAGAATCAAATTTAAAATGAAGATAAAAGAACTTTATCTGTTTCCTGACAGTGACACTTGGGTAGTCCCTACATGCAAATGAAGGGAATGAAAGAACATGTATGCGTTCCCAAATTAGTATAGCCCTTTAATTGATGGCCAGAAATATGGAGAAAGCGTGCTCCTTTTTCCTCTTTTATTGTAGCAATGTTTAACTACTGTACGTAATAATATAAATGTTGTGCTCACAATATATTTTATACTTTCTAGTTTCACCTGACCAAGGGGATAGTCATTTCCAGTGGCCAGGCTGCAAAAATATTTCGGGGGAAAAAGCCAACAATTGTTGGTAAAGAAACAGCTCAAGCGATTTGGACGAACGCCGTACTTGCTACGAGGAGCGTAACTGGAACAACATGTCCCCAGAAGCGAGCAGCCGGAGAGCCAGCAAAGCCTCCTCTAACACCTGAGAAGATCGACGTTGTTCAGGGTGAGCTGGTTTAGGCCAATCCTCTGTGGCGAAATTGAAATCTCAATTTGGGTATATATTGTGTGTCTGTTTCATCTCGTTGTTCAATATTGTAGCCAAACGCCAAAGGCACTGATTATTTAAGGCGGTGGCATTGACTGTCGCATTTCCTGCTTTTGGCAGAACAAATTTTGTGCACATAAAAGCACACCTCGTCCTCGGTTGGATTGACTCATTTACGAGTCGTGGCATTTTACTTTTTGCCTATGAGGCTGCCCAGAGTAGGGTTAGTCCTCAAAACATATATATACTGCTAACTATTACACATTTCTTTCTAGCTGCAATTTCCTTCTGGGGAGACCAGAACAAACAGTCTGCAGCAGCAGCTGCAGTAGTCTGCGACATAGGGAACTTGCTAAGAGAGAAGTGCCAAGACGCAAGGCGTTCCGAAGAGAGGTTGAAGAAGAAGCTGTAGCGCCACAAGGCTATAAACCTTGAAATAAAATTACATTTCCATGCATTGTGTCCATACCATGCAGCTGTCACTGACGGTGGCGGATGAGCTGCCAACAATGGCTAAAACCAGCTGAACTGGCTTCTGGCCACATTTCCAGCTGCGACCAACTGCAGTTGGTCCTGGCTGGGACCAGCAGCAGTTGGTCCCAGCTGGGAATACCTGCAGTTGGTCCCAGCTGGTCCCAGCTGGGACCAGCAGAGCTGGTTTTTGTCAAAATTACCAGCTGGGCCCAGCTGCATTTCCAACTGGGTTGGGAATTTCACCATAAACCAGCTCAGCTGGGAAGCAGCTGGGAATATAGCTGGTCCCAACTGCCATATTTACTCCTGGGATTCTAAAGGTCTAATTTCTCAAAACTGGCATATAGGTAAGGTAATCACCATCTTCAAATCTGAAGATCGCTCTTCCTCACTGAACTATCGACCGATTTTACTAACCTGCGATGGGGAACGCTAAAAAGCATTCCCCATCACAGGTTTTTAGTAAAAGGCTTTCTCTCAAATAGACTTCAGTTCTCTTCCATTAACAATTCCAACTCCTCTTACGCCCAAGTGACATTTGATATTCCCCAGGGAAGCGTGCTGGGTCCATTACTTTTTCTCATATACATTAATGATCTACCCACTTGCGTTTCATCTCATGTCCGTCTTTTTACTGACTGTGTCATCTACTGTAACATCTCTTCTAACACCGATCGCCAAGCTCGCCAATCAGACCAGGACAAGATAACCACGTGGTGTTCTTCGTGGATAATGACCCTCAACCATAACAAAACAAAACCTATGTCCTTTACCAAATGCTCCTCTCAAACTCCAGTCTCTTACCTTTTAAATAACAATACTGTCAAACTCACTTCTACATATAAGTACCTGGGTGTCCACTTTCAGTCTGAATTATCCTGGCACTACCACATTGATCTCACGCCTGCTTCCGCTAACCGTTTTGTTGGATTTATAAAGCGCAATCTTAAACAAGCACCTGCTAATTTACGCAAAAATTTGCTTATATCACTCTAATCCACCCCAAAAATGAATACGCTTCTGCCATACGGGATCCTGAGCAAGCCTACATTATAAGTAACATCGAGTCCCTGCAAGACCGTGCTGCTCGTCTCATTTGTTCAGACTGTTCTTCATTTTCCAGTGTCACTGCATTAAAAAATCAAGCTGAGCTGCAAGACCTATCACGCCACTGTAAACATGCCCGTCTGTAATTATTTCACAAGGTCTATCATTATGCATCACTTCATGAAATTTTTTTTTTTCAAACACCCCCCATTATCTTTCCACGTCTTGAACATTCATTCAAAGTAACGCGCATCACATGCATGCTGCTCATCTAATTATGCACGATCATTCATACCACGAACCATAATCGACTAAAACAACCTACCGCCTCACACTGCCACTGAACTAAACATGTTTAACTTCTAAGAGCACGTGCGCAGTTATACTAATACTTAGCATCCTTTTTATTCCGTGCTCTTATATTGTATTTGTATGCTTTTTGTGTTTTTCTGTGTATACTATTATAAATCTGCTTGCCCCTCCCCTATGTAATACCCTTCTACAGAGGGCCTTTAGGGGTACTTTGAATTAATAAATTAAATAAATTTGATAATTCCCTCCGTGGATCAGTCTGTCGTGTGAATCGGCCACTAGGCTTGAAATACAAGCCGCGCTCATTCGGCATGACGGGGTGAGGCATCGAAGGGTGACGGTGGTGGAGAGAACAGCCGTAACAGTGCCATAGCAGCGGTGGTTGCAGCTATGCAGCGGAGATGCCAGCGAGCAGAGCAGCTCCGTCTGCGCTCCGTCTGCTGAATTGTTTGCCCCTGAGAGCAGTCACTCAGCGGCTCCACCATTGACACCGGATGCTCCGAGTTCCATTTCTGCAACCACTTGCTATTCGCCAGGGGAAGGGGCTATAAGTCTCGTCGCAACCACCAAGGATTCGGCGAGCTAGTCTACCATCTGAATGCCAACAACCGAGGCGATGTGTGCGGGAAGAACGAACTGTCAACGAAACGTTGAAGTGTTAAAGAAACAATTTGTTGACGAAACATTGTTCAGTGAACTGATTGCCGTTGCATACAACCTCCAACGATACCGTGCGCAACGATTTGCTACACGCCACTGATTTCGGGTCACTCACCTCGAGGTGTGCTTCTACCCGAACAAGCTTGCAGCTGGGGGAATCTTGTCCAGTGCTGGGACAGGTACGTTCCGGGATGACACGGTCTTCCGGGCACGCCCCCTCTCCTTCCTGTTTGTCGAAAACAGATAGAGCGAACAGAAATCAAGAGCGAGAAAGATCGAGTACCCATAGAATACGGCAGTACGATTGCCGGCTTTTCACAGTTTGCTCACTCGGCTCTCGTACTCAATTAGTTTTATTTGAGCAAAGGAGAAGCGAGCATAATAGGGACGTTTGATGTCGCGTGCTAAGAACTGGGGTTCGTCTGCCAACATGCGCAAGCAATGGGCTTTTCAGGTAATGCAAGTGAAGAATAGGGGTTTGTCTGGTCTGAAGTGTCCTCGGCAGACTGAAACAAAAGAAAGCCCTCATAGGTCGTCTGCTAAATGAACCGAGAAAACATGCACCGTCTGTAATAATTCGCAGATGATGTTGTCCAACACAAGCTCGAGGTGCGAATATCTGCTATTTCGCAGCGATACCGATCAACAAACCGTGAAGTTAATGCAAACGTGCAGGCGAGCTGGTTAAGAACTGACATTTTCTAACCCTGGAGAGTGGGGAAACAAAAATGACAGGACAACACAAATCTCCAAACACAACTGAGGTCTATTCCACAAAACACCCCCTTATATAGACAACTAAGACAAGGAACGCAAACAGGCAAAAAAAAAAAAAGGCACGGATGACAACGTTGACGTCACACGTACCCTACCAGGATACACATATCTAAAGAGGGTACACATCGGCCTTAAACCAAGACTCTGCAACAAGGAGATGGTAGATTGCACCGTGATATGGATAAGAACTGAGAACACAGTTAAGGCCCATACGCACATTCACGTTTGAACGCATTTAAGTGCGTTGCGGTGTCCTTGCGGTCAGGAGCGGTCGCTTGCAGCACGACGCGCGCTGTCCCGCAACGCTCAGTAGTGGGACGCAAGGGAGTCTCGTTCAACTTTCCAAAACGCTGCGGTGCGTTCGGCCAATCAGAAGCCGAGAAAAGGGAGGAGGGTCATGTGTTCTCTAATAAAATTATAAAGCGCAAGGGACAGACACAGTTAAATTTTTTTAATGTCTTTATTAATAATTTTTTTAATTTTTGTATTTATTTCTACATATCCATTTATATCTACATTTGTTATAAATCTCCAACTTTTTTTTTTTTTTTTGATGCAGAGAAAGGAAATCAGAGATGTTAGCCTGGAGTTGATCTCCTGACTGGCTACTCTGAGTGCGGAGGGAAGTTAGGGAATGAAAGAGATAAGTATGAAAAGAAGGCGTTCCATCTCCAGGCCCGCACACACACTCACACGCACGCGCAATACACAAAATAAAAGAAAAAGGCGGGCAACTTCTGCGACCTCAGGTCAGAGTCTTTTGTCAAGGCCTGTTGCTGACAGGAACTTTAGAAGGGCATTCGTTGACTTTGCGGCGTAGCTTTCGTCATCCCATGGTCCGAGAAGATGTCGAAGAGTGAGGGCTGATCCAGTTGTCTGATGAATGTCTTTGTAGAGCTGGTGCCGATTATCAGTATAGACGCTTTCAGCGAGTCAGTTACTCGAGCTGCCACCAGTCGGCGCGCCCTTCGCGCGCTTTCCGGCCGCCATAGCCGACCTTCAGTTTCTCGCCGTTGCTCCGCGTTGTGTGCTGCACAGGACAATACCGGAGCTTCGTTTTCGCGTTCTTTTTTACGTTCCCCGTTGAAATGCTGTATTTTCTTTAGGTCTTTTCGATATTTAGGAGTTTCCTTTAATCATTTGATATTTATATTTCGACATAGCTCTTGTATTTTCTTATTTATGGAATGGAATCGGGCAGCGAATGGGTCGACGATACAGGATTATGAAACTTCAATGACCATGTAAGTTCATCCTATTTTTTCCGCTAATAAAAGGCAGTCAACACTACTGCTACATATGTAAATTGCAACTGACGCAGTAAGGCTATCACAGTCGTGCTTCTCGCTGCATGTGCGCGCTCGTTTCCGTAAAGCCGCCCCGCATGTAAGCGATTTAGCGTGCGACGAGACGAGCGACGGCGACAGACGAGAGTCAGCGACGAAGATTTCTCACTGTCGCCTGTTGCATCGCTCGGCTTTTTGGGTTTCTAGAAAACGTCGCTCACCGTCTTGGTCGCTTGCTCCGTCGCTTCCATGCGGTTTGCCTCGTCGCGCGACTGACCGAGCGACAGCAAAGCGGGTCACCGTCGCTCGTCTCGTTGCTCGCCGAATCGCTTGCATGTGGTTTTTTACTCAATTAATTTCCATGCACACAGCATTGAATCAATGGCGCCTCGATATTAAGTATAAACCGCATGCAAGCGATTGGGCGAGCAACGAGACAAGCGACTGTGACCGGCTTCGCTGTCGCTCGGCCAGTCGCGCGACGAGGCAAACCGCACGGAAGTGACTGGAGCAAGCGACCAAGACGGTGAGCGACGTTTTCTAGAAACCCAAAAAACCGAGCGATGCAACAGGCGACAGTGAGAAATCTTCATCGCTGACTCTCGTCGTTGTCGCCGTCGCTCGTCTCGTCGCACGCTAAATCGCTTATATGCGGGTCGGCTTTACGGAAACGAGCGCGCACATGCAGCGAGAAGCACGACGGGATATTCTTACTGCGTCAGTTGAAATTTGCATATGCCGCAATGGTGTTGACTGCCCTTTATTAGCGAGAAAAACGTTAGAATGGGATGAACTTACATGGTCTCTGAAGCCATAATCTTGTATCGTCGATCCATTCGCTGTCCGATTCCATTTCATAAATAAGAAAATACAAGAGCTATGTTGAAATATAGATATCAAATGATTAAATGAAAGCCCGAAATATCGAAACGACCTAAAGAAAACACACGATTCCAACGCGGAACGCAAAAAGAACGCGAAAACAAAGCTCCGGTAGTGGCCGGTGCAGCACACAACGCGGAGGAACGGCGAGAAACTGAAGGGCGGCTATGGCGGCAGGGTCACGTGACGTCAAGATGGCGGCGCCCATGAAATGTTGCCTGAAAGGGTCTATACTTAGGGCATTCAAGTAGTATGTGTTTGATGTCTACAATGGTTCCGCATAGGGGACAGTTGGGTGATTCAAGCTTTCCGATGAGATGAAGGTAGTAGTTTGTGTAAGACACTTTTAGCCGCATTCTATGAAGAACTGCCTCCCGTCGCCTCTTGAGACTGCGTGGAACTTGGAACATTAAATTTGGGTCAATTATTTTTAAGGACGAGCTCTGGTGGGCGACCGCTTTCCAATGACATGCTGCAGTAGACCTCCCCAGGAGTGCCACAGCTGCACGAATGTCTGATCTTGGAAATGGAGCCATAACTTGCTGAACGAGGTCATGGCAACGTGCAGCCATAGCATCAGCCATTTCATTTTTCCTTGTAGGCCACCGTGGCTAGGTATCCATTGGAAAGAAATGGAATGTCCTAAAAGGTTAGCATCTGCATGAACTTTCAGAATTTGTAGAACTAATTGCCTGTTTGGACTGTTTCTACGTGGAGACTGCAGCGATTGGAGAGCTGACTTAGAGTCAGTAATAACTGTCCAAGTGCGGGGAGACACATCTAACATGTAACAAAGCGCCTCACGAATGGCTACCAACTCTGCCGCAGTAGAGCAGATTCTGTGAGACAACTTGTGGCCTGCGCTCAGACAGAGCGTCGGGGACGCCAATCCAATCGATGATCCTTCATGTGTAGTCGATGCATCTGTGTATAAATGGCAGGAGGAAGAGTGCCGCGTATATAAAACAGACAAAGAAAGCTGACGAAGAACAACTGGAGAGAGCGCTGATTTTTTAATTATTCCTGGCATGTCTGTGTGGAGCACAAGAGGGGGCAACAACCAAGGAGGCGTAGCAAGGATGAGAGTGTCCTGATATGCATCTGGAATGTTCTCTCTGTGATCAATGGCCTGTGCAATGCGGCTGTAGAAACACCTCTCCGGTATGTCCGCCAGGGGGTGCGAGTCATATGCCGTGTAAGGTGCCTTATGTGATTTCGTAGAGTCTCCTGAACGCGAATGGCTCTGAAAGGTAGGCAGTGAGGTTCAGCTATTGTATCAATAATCGAGGTTGAAGGAGGTACCCCAAGGCATACTCTGAGCGCCTGTGCTTGAAGAGATTCAAGCTTTTTCATGTTTGTGGGACTTAAACCATGCATAACTGGCAAGCTGTAGCGGAGAACGCCAATGAATAAGCTGTTATATAAACGCAGAAGTCCAGCTACGGATGTCCCCCAGGTTGTGCCGCTTATAAACCTCCCTAAACTAATAAATGCAGAAAGCTTTGTCTTAAGATGTTTCAGTTGCGGATTCCATGTTAGGCCCCTGTCTATATAAATTCCGAGAAAAAGATGATTTGGAGTGTAAGGAATATCTGTACCATGGAGAGAAAGAGGGTAACGGCTCATTTTCATCCTCGTGAAAGCTACAGCTGCTGATTTTGTTGAAGCAACCTACTTTTTTAATTTCATTAATTTTTGTCCTTTTTGTCTTCCATATATTTTCTATCGCTTCTTTCTTCTCTTCCTTAGTTTTTATTAAAACCCCAGTTGCGAGTAGAGACGCTTTCAGGCAGCTGTGCATGGGCGCCGCCATAACCGACCTTCAGTTTGTTTCCTCTTATTCCGTTCGCTTCACTTCATCGTAGCCACAGCAGGACAGATGATTGCCACTTTAGGTGTTACCGTGTCCTTCTGCCTAGCATTGGCCTTTGTGGAGGCTCGTCAACGCCTGCTTCAGTGGCTCGGCATCTCAGTAAGACAAGAGCAGGTCAGCAACGGTGGCTCTATCTGGTGCATGTTTAAGGCTGATGTATCACGGCGGCCATCTTGAACAAGCTACGAGTTGAACCACCAGGGCAGCATTGTCTGTCTGTGTGGCCAAATGCTGCAGAACCCTACGCGCTAATTTCGAAAATCGCTTTCCTGTCACTTGCGACCTTGAGCTTCCTTCTCTGCTCTTATGCCACCCCTCTTGCGCATCACGTGTATGTTCATTGCCGACAGGACGTTCCTTGTCCACGTCGTGAACAACAAAGGTGTTCTCCCTGACCCCGAGAAGACC